TATCATATATGTATTATATGCATATACATGTATTTATGCACGGCCAAGTCATGGGGACACATAGCTAATGTTGTAGCTCGATCATAGTTCGAATACGCGAAGATGAATCGCCGAGTTGCGATTCGCCGTGTACAAATGTTGTTGAGATGTAGATTGTAAAGTTATAGATTTATAAAGTATCGCAATGGCATCCACTTTTGAAGCATTTTTACGTAAAAATGGCGGATAATGTACGTAATATATTATTTCATCTACACATTAAGGTGCTACCTTAATTTGTACAAAATTTTCTATATACTTTTTGTCAAATTAAACGTTCAGCTCTTATAACATTTACTTTCTCTTTCGATCACATCTGTTAATCATAAAAGATGTTCCATCTTCTGAAATCGAATTGTGCTTACATATACCTTTTCTTGCACTGAAATCTCAACGACAAATAGACCCGCATTAAACTAAAAAATATAAATTAAGCAGACGGATATTTCTTTATTCATAAATAACTGATAACAAATAAAAAAATTGATTTACAAATATATAAGTTTGCAATGGTCGTGTCTTTGCTTCAAAATGGTAAAGTTTGAGGTACTTTATAAATCTAATGACTTTAATAGATCGGACCGCGCCCGCATTGTATCATTTGCCTCACAATGCAAAAAGACAAAGATGAATTCCTTTCTGGGTCAAAGTTTCACTACAAACTGCTTTGAAGTATTTGATTGATCAGAAGAAAGAACTTTATAAATTGAATCAAGGAATGTTTCGAAGCATTTGTAGCATTACATTGATCATACTTTCTGTCGCATTTTCTTTCAGACAATTTATTTATGATATTCCTTGTAAATCAGTTCGTTTTTATATGCAGGGTCTTTAAAAAGTCCGGAAATGCTAAAATATGTCGAAAACAAAATATTTTTCAGAAAAATGTTTCAAACAGAAGTTGTAAGGTTTATTTATTGATCACATCCATTTAATCCTAGATGGAGTCCAAGATCACCAATAGTGAAAAATAGTGCTTTATTTTCGATACATTTAGTTTTCAATATATTTAGTTTTCGATATATTTATATATTTCGGACTTTTTAAAGATCTCGTATATGCGCTTCGACTTAATTAACATCAGACATATTGTTCTGTCCAACTCTCTCATTTCCCGTGAGATTCTTGATTTGTCTTACTCATAGAATGCAAATATGCATAATTAGCAGTCATTATACCGATCTGTTCGCTTCCTTTCTACGAAAATGGGTGCGGCTCCGCACACAAAGTAAAAACAGATATGTAGGCGTGTTCTGCGAATAACGTGTATGTTTCGCGTATCAAGTCAACATAGGCTGAATCCTGAAACCTGAAGAATTACGTAGTAATTTGCGTAAAATTTTAGGAATCAATTGTGGAAGAAAATTGTCTTAAGACTATAACACAGAAAAAAATTGTAAAACGTAAACAATAACAAATTCAACATATTGCGCGTTCAAGTTAACAAAGCGATTAACCTGTTCGCCAAGCAAATAAACATGATTGATGGTAGACGAAGGTGAAATAACTTGAGGGATGCAGTAGCCGATTTAGTTATAGCCAATCAGAATCTGTCCTAAGACTACAAAAAGCAATATAACAAAATTTATGCTTTTAAACACTTATCATACACTGATTAATATTGTATGTACTTGAATATCGATATTTAGGACAGAATTTGATTTGCTAATCGATTGCTCTGAATTGTTATTTCACCTGTATTCTTCCACCATAATTGGTTGTTACTTATAGATCTAACCAATCTAACATTCAATCGCTTGAATAGGCTAGCAGCTTTGTCTGGTTTGAAGGTACCTAATGATTTCCTTATTATTTACGTTTTACTGTTTATGTTTTGTGGGTGCCATGGTCCTTACAAATAATTACAGGCTTCGATAGATTGGACATAACAATCATGACGTTATTCGCGAAACTTACTCGCAATTAACCGATCAATCGATCGAAACCGTCGATCGATCTTTACGTAGCACGAGCCTCGACGAAGTCGGAGACGAGATTCGTCGTTTAGAAAAAATTAAGGGCTCCATCCATTCCAGATTAACGTACGTCGTGACTAATTGGACATGTCGAATATGTGTCTGCCAACAGTGATATGACTCGTAGTCGGATTATAAATGTTACGAAATGTGGCGTCGCGATTACATTCTGTGAAGCTAAGTTTTATGTTAATCCGCAATCCTTTGTGATATTTTCTTAAATTTTATTTCCTTCCTATCTTCTTCTCGTTCCTTTACTCGATGATATCGATGATATTGGCGTATCCCATTGCACACCGTGGATTCTATTTTCATATATTGAACATACAAACAAATAACGAGAAAGCAACGTATTGTTTTTTTCTCTCTCTTCTTCCTGTAGCGAGGCGTCGTTTTTTTATCACGAGAAAAAAAATGATGAGACCCGGTTAAGAAGGTGCGCCCCCGAGAAAAATTGCGAGAAAATCACGCGATTTTCTTCAAGATTATCCGTGATTATGTACGAATCCAATTCCCACATGTTGATTGTCTCGTCACGTTTAGCGCCGAGCTCTATTGATGTTATATCTCGTTGATCATTATATGAATATATTTTATGATTGCGCAGATTCACAAATAAATTAAATATTTGCTTTAATCTGTCATGACTACTATTGTTTTATCCCTTCAAAGTATTTTAGTTCATTTCGTTGAATGTGTGTGTAAACATGAAAAAATGAACATTTATGATAATTAAATAGAAATTAAGATAATTAAAATTAGCAGCCATTCTGCATTAATTTCAATATCTTTCTTTCTTATTTTAATTATTATTATATATTTGAATTAATTATCCCATTAATAATGTAAATATTTTATGCAAATATTTTATATGGATGGTTATATGCATGGTTACTAACGGATCATGAAAAAATAAAATGTAGATGTTTTTTTCACAGAAAATGAAGAATCGAATTAAATCATTTCCAGCTACTAGAATGTCGATTAGTCGGTTAATGAATGTTGAAAATGGGGGTACATCGCTCGCCTAAAATATATATCCGTTAAATGTTTTGTCACATGTTTGCTTGTTAAGTCCGTTTTCTTTCTACATATATCATTTCAAACATTCTTTTGAAATACGACGGCTTATCTAAAATTCGAACATTCTCCCAATCGAATTTATAATTTTTCTATTTATAATTCAATCTATTATATTTATTGCAATTAGTACTATATGTAGATATTTTATATATAATACTAATTGGAAAATATAGATATATGTATAAAATTACATTTTATTTTTTATTTCATATATACTTACACATTTAATATATTTTTATTTTATCTATTATGTATCATTTATATGATTTTAATCTTACATTATGTACA